TTAGGAAGTATGGCAACCTTATTGTATAAATAGTTTTAAAACTTTCAAGTTCATCTTGAAAGTTTCAGTGTATTTAATAAGTTTTATGTAAGGGTGACTTCTAAACCTGGAAAGTATGAATCCTGGGTGGGGCTTGGGGGTTTTTTGTTGGTAGGGTTTGTTATGTGTTTTTGTTTGTTGGGGTTTTTTTCTGTAGTTCTTTGTGTAAGTTTGTGCAGTGAATGTTGCTGACTGCTCCAGCTTTGTCTGCAATAGTATGGGTTAGTGAAGTGTACTTCTGCTGTACTGGGGAAGATGAGGTAGCAGTGCAGCATTTATGTGGGGGTGGTTAAATTCCCAGCTGTGGACCCGCCTTCTGTGTGAGCTGTCCCCCCGTGGGGACATGGATATGCTGTTTAGTAGGGATATGAATGAGAAACTGTGTTTTCTGGTATTGGAAAGCTGAGATTTCAGTAAAGTGATCCAGGCGCAGTCTCTTAAGAGCATTTAAACAGTACTTCCTGATGTCTCATTTAAAGCCGGTATTGAAGTATTTGGGTCCTGTTATGCAATGTTGTGATGAGTGTTTCTGCTTATTAAAATATTGCATAAATTTCAACACTTCTTACCAGTGGATTGAAGAATTAGATATGACAACAATGGCGGTATTGAAAAGCTTAAAGTTAAGATGTTTTAGTGGAAAATGACTTTTATTTGTGTCTCAAGTTTTAGTGGTTTAACTCTAAACTATCTGCAAAATAATTAGATTTACTACCTTTCAGTATTACAGAAAAGCTGAACCAAAATGCTGCGGTCTACTTTTTTTGCCAGGCCTCTGTATCCCTTGTATTAAGATTTCTCTGGAGTGAAATTTGCGTCAAGCAGACCCAGTTGGCTTCTAGTCTGCAAAGCTGTTAAGTTTAATCTTGTTCCAGTTTAATTTTAATGTCATGGATTGAAATTATATGCATGGCCGTTTTTCTTTTTTGCGAAGAGTTGGATTTGGAACGAAAGCAAAATGGCTCGAGGACGCAAGAGCAATAGCATCAAACAGAGCGACTTCACTAACAGCACCAATCCTCAGGATTTAGAGAGAAGACTTTTTATCGGCAATTTGCCCACAGACCACATGACTCGTGAAGAAATGGAAGAGATATTTTCAAAATATGGCAAAATCAGGGGTTAGTATATTATCTTATGCCTTTTTGTGGCTGGGAATTCAGTGAGAAATAACTTTCATGCTTGTCAAATGCTATTTGATGATGGTGAGAGGAGTGACTAATGTTGTTCCTAAAAAGTGACCTTTTAATGATAATTTTCTCTGCCTGCATTTTCTCTGAAGAAGTGATTCCTTCAGTACAGCTGAAATATAATATGTATATGAGCTATGTTTTAGCTTTTGTGGTTGCAGTGTGATGTTACAATAATCTTTCAAGTGACTTCATAGTCCAAATCTTAGTTACTTCATGGGCTGTATTTTGCCTTGTCAGAAGGAAGTTGATCTACGAAATATATTCCAGAGTGTTTAAGTTCTGCATTTTGATCCTGGTAGATTTGGTTTTCCCGCAAAACTTGCATAGTTGTTTCTGGGTAGAGCCCCTTTGCTTGTTCATCTGGTGGGGTTATGTGATGGCCTGGGTGCGGGTTAGTACTGTCCCTTAGTTGTAACCGGTCTTGCCCTGCTGTTAACTTTTCCAGCCCTCAGCATGTACCATGGCTATGGGTTCGTGCAGTATGACCGTCTAGAAGATGTCCAGGCCGCTCTGGATGGTGAGAAGGGTCGCCTTTATAAAGGGTATAGATTAGGTAAGGAAAACTGATCCGTGCTCTCCTACTGACCCTAGCATGTGTTCTGGTAGAAAGAGTGCTTCTGTTCTAAAGCTCTCTGGAAAGATCACTTTGTGAAACTTGCCTGGCGTTGGTCTAAAATCAGTTTTACTAGGTATGTATTTGTCTTCTGAGTTATTTGCTGTAAGTGCTCTGTGGTTCATCTGCAGTGTTTTCTCTTGTTACCTAGGTCTTACTCTGACCTTATTTTTATGTGTTAGTATTTGAAAAGCGCTATTCCCCCATGTAAGAAACTGTTCAACATGTAAGCCCTAGAAAGCAGTCATTGAAACCTCATACACATAGATGTAAAAACATTTGTAAACCAATATTGGGCTTCTTGACATGTTCAGAGCAGTCAGACTTAGACTTTCAGAGGAAAGCATTTAGCAGCTTATTAGATAAGTAATCTTAACTTGGATTTTTTTGCACATGTGAAATCACTCTGTAAGTAGTGCTATAAATACTAGGTTCTTTAAAAAGGCCATTTTCATAAAGATGAAAATAATTCTGCTAAATATGCTGGGAGCAAACTTAAACAGAAATGAATGGTTAGAAATCTAAGAGTAATCTATTAAATGCAAGCAAAAAAATTACTTTTGAAGTAAGCCTATGCTAATTTAAAGAAAAACTGTTTGACTTAGGAAGGAATGAAAGGAGTAATGACTTGTGGGAAGGTGTGTATACAGTAGCAAATAGGAGCCTGAAAATGGAAATGGAGGCAAATAGACAAGGAGAGTAGAAGGATACAAGAAGAAATTATGGCCAGCATTGTCCAAAGTCTAGAAGCTTAAATAGGAACAACTGTGACTGTTTTAGAAGCTAAAGTGTAATTGTCCAGAAATGATAAAATTCCAAACTGGAAAGGACCACCTAGTCTTCAGATAATGTTTCTGCTGTCTATTTTTGAAGAGGCAGAAGGTGTTTTTAATATAGTTTTCATTTCAGTAGCAAACTAAAAAAGGTAAAGCAGCTGCCAAAACTAGACCTCTCAAAAAAATTTAAATCTAACATTTATGAGGCATAGTGAAATTAAGACCTTCCTCGGCTATTATTTTTCCACAAGTCTTGGAAGACTAGGGAGTTGCCAGGGACCTAGCAGAGCACTGCAGATGTGCCAACAGGCAGCATAAATGGGATGAGCCTGGCATCAGCCCCTGATAACAAAGAGGGTCTTTCACCTGACACCCAGTGAAAAGTGAATTAATTAATGCCAGTCAAAATAAATCCTGTCAGACTAACTTATTCTTAATGATACTGCGAGTTTTTATGGCTGAAAGTAGCAGTGTTGATGTAAAAGACTTCTGTAGGATGTTTGATTTGATTTAGAAACTAGAACAATTAAAACCAACTTAGGGCTAAATGGATTTCAAGTGAATCTCAGTGTAATATAGATGGAATTGCTCAGTGCTTTGAGTGGTGTTCTGGAAAAAATTGATTCCTGGCCATACAGTGCTTTTATAAGTGACTTGGAAAGAAAACACACAATCACGTTTTAAAAAGAATGAAATAATGAAGACTGAGTCACTGATGATGAAATGACCTGGACTTCTTCCTGAGCTGGATGCAGGCAGAACTGAGCTTTCAGTAAAGCCAGAAAGGAAGATCTGCACCCAGCAAGAGTGCTTTTGTCATCCTTAGCTGTACAAAACACAGATTTGTAAGTAGGGAGGTTTTGGTACCTGTGGTTTTTTGCTGCTGGAATACTGTGTTCAGTTCTGGTATGCCTGGTTCAAAAAGGATAATGCTAAATTGGAGAAGCCTCAGAAAAACCTGAAGAAGGGTTAAAGAGTTGAAGAACAAGCCCTAGCAAAAGCCTCAAGATATAGGAGTGATGTGGTTGGTGTGTTACAGGCAGACCTGGAAATAAGTGAGTTTTAATCTAGTAAGCATAAGTATGACAAGACTTTAAATGGAAACGAATAGTTTTCTTTAACAGCAAAGTAATTTGCTTCTGGAATAATTTATTGGAACTTTGGTGATTTCTGTGCTCTGAAGACTTTTAAATTCCAATTGGATGTTTTGCTAAAAGATAAGCGCTAGTTCAATGCCACTGCTGCACTTGAGATAGGAATGTGATTCAAGAAACTCTTGTCACCTGTGTTTATTCAGAAGGTTACACTGTATGATTACAGTGGCCTTGTCTCAAAATCCTACAAGACAGAAGACTTTTTTTTTCTCGTAAGTTTTGTCTGTGTTCAAATACTTAACCTGTAAATGCTGTTGGCATTAAATAAAATGTTATTAAACATGTTTGTTTTGCACAAGAGAAGGATCCCTGTCAAAGGTGTTTTTTTTTCTTCTAGTAAAATATTTTTGTTCAGACTTAAATACATTTTTTAATTTGAAAGAAATGTATGGTATTGAGTGTAAAAATCATAATAGGTTTCTGCAATGGCATCTTAAAACAGAAAATAAAAATAATCTTAAACCAAAGAAAGCAGATAGTGTCTTGCTTAAAGATAACACTTTAAGGGGAAAAAAATTCTCGACTAAAATACAAGTGCAAGGAGAACAGTTGCTTCACTTATGCAGTCTGAGTATTAAATATAATTGCTAATAACAGAATAAGGTAAAAGGCTTTGGGAGAGTTTAACTTCAGTGTTGCATTGTACTAATACTTCCACAAATCCATAGAAGTATTTTCATATCTTTAATGAATAAAACTATGTAGCGAATAAATGTCCATAAAATTTAGTTTGTGACAGTAGACAATGCAGCTGTATTTGATCCTGGAGAGCCTCCTTTGTGGTCCTGTGAATGTTGTTACGCTGCATTTGTAGTTGATGTTCAGATTGCGCTTGCCTTTCCCCCTAAAAAAGGAGAACATGCTGCTTGATTGACAACAAGAGCAAAAATTAGAACCAATCCCTTAATTCTAATTTTAGTCTTGAAAGTAATGAAGGATAGTTTGGGAAGTTAACAGAATATGTTAAGACTGAGTCTGCCTAAAGACATTGTGGCAGGTTTATTCTCTTGTAAGAGCTTTGAAAGTAGTTAATGTAAATAACTAATAAGAAATTTTAATTGTCGATAGATTCTCAGGAAGCAGATGGGACATAGGTTTGGTTTGTTCTTTTCTTTAAAAGGCGCTCAGAGTAAAACACCTGAAGTCATTTCTGTTTGTTCTTGCCCCCCTCCAGTACATTATTTCATCTTCAATCAGCTGGTACAGAATGCTTTGTTTCTTCACAGTAGAACAATATGGGTCCCTGCCAAATCTGGGCAACTTTTTCTGGTTGCAGACAAGACTCTGTTTCTTCAGCTCTCTTACTACTTTGTATTTAACTTCATGGTGGTTTTCATGGAGGTGCTCAGAAGCCAACCAATTTTAAAATTTCTGATCTGTTGCATCAGTTTGCATCATGTTAACAGTGGTGTTTTGAATGCACCGTGTTGACTTCATAAGGAGCTTATGCTTCAGGCTCCTTGGATCCTGTTTCCTCAGTGGTGAAGGCTGTACAACTTAACGCTGCAGCAGTCCCTTGGAAAGCAGTTGCATGTGCCACTTGAGAACCCTTGGATTATTTTCAGCAAGGGTAGCAGCATGCTCCGTTGAACAGGACTGGCTGTGAACTTAAGACTGTGCTGGCCATCAGCTTCCTTTCTCGGAGGTTTTCAGACTCTGCTTTTTCTCCTAGAGTCCATGAGTCGCTTTCTGCTTGCTCATAGACTGCAGAAGAAAGAGGTTCTGTTATGGAATGAAGAGTCTGGATGTAGGCCTGAATATAGAGGGTTAAAACTTCACACAGGCTGTCCACCCTATTTTGAAGTCAGAGAAATCCATGAAAATTTCATTACATTGTACTATCTAAACTTAATAAAAAATTGTCAAAGTGACAATGTCTCTCTGCTGAATGGATTTTCTTACACCATCTGGATGTTGTTGAGCTTAAGTTGCTTTCGTTTGAATTGTGCTGATGATCTTTTTTTTGTTCCATAGCATTGAACAGATGGGTTGATTATTCTTTACAGATATTAATAAAGCAGTGGAAAGAAGAAATATGAATAAGGCTTCATCAAGGTCCAGTCCGGCACGAAGGTAAAGTACCTGGAAGCAGTGAGTTATACTAGGAAGGTCAGGCTTTTAGGGCATAAGCCCAGCAGCCTGTGCTAAATGTCTGTGTCTCTTCCCACCACCTCCCCAGTCAAATGGAGATGCTCAAGCAAGACAGTTGGGACATGGCTGCTCCACCTCTAAGAGCCTTTCTGACACTGACACCTCAGGAGGCACGAGGGAAACCTTGTGTCTGCTGCTGTTACTACAGCTAAACGTTATGTTTTGCAGCACAGTTTGTAAGAGACTTGTGAGGAAGAATACACTTGATGTTTGCTCCTGCCTCAAGTTATTGGAGAAGCTCAGGCATAGCTAGAGGACGCCTGGGGGCTGTAGCATTCCCAGTGCCATGCTGCAGAGGACTTCAGGATCTTGCCTTTTCTGATGTCGAATACTTACAGGGCTGAAATGAGACTTGAAAAGAGCACGCGAGCAAAGCACAAGATAGAGCAAAGATCTCTATTGCACTGTCCCGTCTGCACGTGTGCTTGCGTTGTCAGTACCTGGAACCAGTCCCCTTCTGTACACTTAGTGACGGGTACCTGCCAGCTTCTGGTTTCCCACCCCTCGGTAGGCACAGCATGTGCAGCTCCTGCATGTCTTCTCTGTGTGAAATCATAGGCAAGTGGAGAAGACACGGACTGTCCTGTCACAGGAAGACAACTTCAGTTTCCTTTCCTTTCCTGGCATTACTAGAGAGCGCATGAAGACATGCTGCGGTTACAGTTTGGTATAAGGTGTGCATCTTCTATGCCTATACTGTAAAGCTTTCCACACAAAGGAGTGTTGGACTTCAAGGTAACCAAGCTCTCATGTGTCTGATGTGCTGTACTAACTTGATCTGTTAAATTACTAAAAACAAGGAAAAGTGCAACTAGCAAGACATCTACCACTAAAAAACAGAGAATGAGTAGCTGCAATCCTTGGCATTATCTAGATCTTTTGTATGTGCTGCACTTAACCCTGAACAGGACCAAATGCACTTGCAGAGACCAGTGTGTGGGCATCACCCAGGAAGTGCTTCGGGCACACAGCTGGGGGTTCCCATTACAGATGTGGCAAGCCTTGGGCCTGAACAGTGTCAGTTGTGCTCAGTGCTGGCATGAGGACCCCAAGAATACTTCAAGTACATGAGCAGCAGGCACTGATGGCACATCTCTGGCCTCAGTGGCACTGCAGGTGTGTAATGCTGAAGGCACCAGGCAGCACTGCAGGTGTGAGAGGCAGGCACCTATGCCATGAGTGCTGGTCCTCAGACCACATTGCAGAGCGACAAGCAGCAGGCACTGAGGCCATGGGCATTGGGACCTGCATTGCCCTGCATGTATGCAAGAGCAGATGCCCATATCATGGGCCCTAAGGAACACTGGAGGTGTGTGAGCTGTGAGCAGTGGTGCTGTGGGCACTGTGCTGTGGACTGGACTACCACCATGGCTGCTGAAGGCATTGGTGAGACTGTGACAGGCACTGGATTCCAGCTGGTACTGCAGACACCGTGGCTGTCCCATGTTACTAGGGCTGGGTCCCAAGCAGCACTGGGCATGGGTGGTGATGAAGTCATGGGCATCGAGCCCTGGGCAGGGCTGCAGGCGCACTGACGGTGGATGATTGACTCTGGACCACGCTGCAGGCATGTGAATGACAGCTCCTGATGCTGGAGAGCAGAGTCCCATGCTGTGCCACAGACGGCAGCGCTGGGCCACCAGAGTGGTGAGTCCCAAGCAGATGTGGGCAGTGGTGCTGATGTTGCAGGAGTCCATCCGTGATGACAGAGTCCTGGAAGCAGAAGCCTGCTGCGCAGTGGTGCTGCCCATTGCAAGCAACAGGGCAGCGATGTACGTGCAAGAACAGAGGAGACCTGTGCCATGTCTGTACTTCTGTTGCAGTTGTGTGTTGTTCATTCTGGATCTTTTTGTCTCTGCAGATAATGAATATGGCCTGTTCTGGTCACCCCCCCTCCAGCTGGAATAAATGTCGTATGCCAAACAATTACACTGCATCTGGCTGTTTTGCTCTATAGTCTTACAGCTACAGAAAGATCGCTTACCCAATATCCATTAGAGCAAATCAGAAGTTTCCCCTGAGCTTCTGCCATCGTTCCTTGTAGGTTGGGGGGAAGGGGGCAATGACGTGTGTATCTCATGGGATGTGGTTTCAATGCAGATCACAAACAAATGGTAGATTTGTATGTCCAAGAGGCTGAAGAAGTTTACACTTGTTTGTGTGCAAATACAGTGTTTCTTTTACAGGAGGAGGCTATATACACTCTTGGTGGCAACACTGTAGTTTGTCCCAAGATCTGTTTTGTATCTGACATAACAACAGAGAATACCAGTGCTCCTGTGTATCCCCCAGCAAAGCTGGGTGTCCATCCACCAAAGTCCACACACAGAATCTGTACATCCATCTTGTTACTGTCCATTCTACCTGACACTGAACTTGAGCATGTGTGACTCGCTGCTCCTGCTGTTCTCTCCAGGTGGCTGCTATGTGGATGTTCTGTAGTGGAAGCAGACTTATGTTCTGCTTATCTTTCATAAACTAGATTAGGCTGGAGAAGACTCTAAAAGTCTGTCAAGTTTTGGAAATACAAAGATTCGAAAAGCTGATTTTTTTTTTCCCGGTGATTGTCAGTACCTTGGAGAAAGAACATTCCAAACATGTGAAGCTCAGTAGTTTCTCTGCAAGATTTTTTTATGTTTGGTTTACGCTACAGTGAAAATAATGTTTTTTTTTCTGGAAAACAAAATATAACTTGGAAAAAAACCTGCTGTTTTGGGAAAAGATGAAGACTGGAACGTTATTCTTCCTTACCTCTGAAGACAGCACAGTACGAAGTCTGAATGAGATCATTCAGATGTGGTGGAGAAGCCTGTTGCTGCTGGGGATGCCATGCTGGTTAGGTTTAGTACCCTCTTAATGTGTGGCGTTGTAAACATAAGACTGGCTTTCTACAGAAGCTGTCCCTTCAAATCCAGGACACGATGGTAGCTATCATTGCTTTCTGCTAGCAGCACAAACCCAACCACAACATGGAACTACAGTGTCTTTGGTCACAACAAGCTCCTTTTTTAATCATATGCCAATAACAAACTATTTCAGGTATTCTGCTGTCATTGACTAGTGAATTCAATGGATCCCTTGAATGCTCCTGGCTGTTGCATATTTGTGGGTATTAGGCTTCAGCACCTTGAATTCTCTCAAAGAATTTGCAAAATCATGTTTGGTAGATGATCTGTGGCTGATGGTGAAAGCCAGAGGCTTTGAAATGATGGTTTCTGAGGTGCCTGTTCACTTCTTCCACAGGTGCTCTACACTTTTAATGATGCTCCATTAAGGAGCCTTCTGGGTCTTGTTTGGCTATGATAAACATTAGAATTAAGAAGCTTCTCCAGGCTGCCTCAACAAATAGGGGTTTTGGGCAATTCTTGCTGCTGTGGGATAGGAGGGAGGATTCATCTGCTGAGAGAAGTGTCGCTTTGGCACCTCAGGTAAGAGATCTAGGGGTAACAGTACTTGTGTCGTTAGCAGTCTAATGGAATTTCCCTGGTGTTTTCCTCAGAGAGCCATACGCCTATGGAGATGGTCGAGATGCCAGACGTGACCGCTCCCCCCTTCGGGGGAGCCCACGAAGAGACCCCAGAGATGGCAGGGACGGTAGAAACGGACGAGATTCCAGAGACACTCGAGACGTTCGAGCTAGAGACATGCGTGATGCCAGAGACCACAGGGACCCACGGGACCTGCGAGACCCACGGGATATCAGGGATCCAAGAGACTTGCGGGACCCTCGTGATGTTAGAGATCTTCGTGACCCACGGGAGCCACTGTACGATCGATACAGGGATCCACGGGATGTGAGGAATCCACGAGATGTGAGGGATCCACGGGATATGAGAGACCCTCGGGACCCTTTGTACAGGTAATTTCCACAGGTTTTATGACATTCCTGCCTCTATGGCTGCACTGGTTTGAGAGGTGTCAGGCATTTAAGATAAAGAAATTGCTCTGACTGGAGACAGTTGGGTGCCTGCTTTGTGTCTTGTGGGGAGCAGGTGGGTACTTCAGAAATTAAACTTGAGGAAGGTCTGTGTGTGATGCACTGGCCAAAGTTACTGCCTGAGATTGTGCTGGAGCATGGAAACCCTTGCTGCTTCTGTAAATGTTGCAGACGAGATGAAGCTTATGACCGTTACCTTCGCCTTGAAGACTACTATCGGCGGAAGGATGATTCTTACTATGATCGTTACAAAGAGCATTTCGATAGAGCACCAGTGAATTCAGAAGGTGAGTACCTGTGACATTTTAATGGGCAAACTCACATCTTCCCTCTGGGAGGATGCAGGAGATGCCTGTAGTGCCAAGCATTGTTGCATTCTGTGACACTCCAAGCAGGTCCAAAGGGTGTTATTTGTTCTGTCCCTGTGGCTTGCTTTCAGACCGTCTGAAGCGTGAGGAGCGGCGCCGAGAGGAGCTGTACCGTCAGTACTACGAGGAAATCAAGAGACGTTTTGATGCGGAGAGACCTGTGGATTGTTCTGTGATAGTGGTGAATAAACAGACAAAGTAAGAAATTAGTTACAACCAATTTTATTACTGTACAGTAGGAGAAAATGTAATTAAACTTAGTCCTGCCTTGAGACTGTTTGTCTTACAGGTTACTCTTGAGGAATGTGGCTTTAGAGCCCTCAGAAAGCTACAGCTCCTATTGCTGTTCTGGGAATATATGTTGATGAGATGGAAAAATGCTGCACCTTGTGCTTTACTTTTATTTTCTTGTCACCTATCATTAGCCCTTCTCCTGATACTTTTCTACCTACTCTTCCTGTCAGCCTACTGTTGCAACAGGTTATAGTGGCCTGTACTTGTTATTCTTTGGTTAAATTATAAGGATCTTATTAATATGTGTCAAGCAGCAGATAGTACAGAGCAGTTGTCAGAATGGAGTTGTGGGGGTGTTCGTTTTGGAGCTCCTGTCAGATTGGTTGCTAGGTCGGATACCAGTCACTACTATTAATCCAATATGCAAGAAATATAAAATCATTGCTGAAAGTAGTCATGAGCTATATCAAAAGCATGTGTAAGTAGTAACCACGGTGATCTCATGTGGCAGCCTGAATACTTCCTGAGGTAATGGGGTGGGTGCTGTGTTGTGAACAGGGGGGTACTCCTATGCCTGGTAGAGTGGGAGGGGGGCTGTAGTGATGGCACCAGTCTGATGTCTGTATCTTTACAAATAAATATATTAAAGAATAACAAATATGTAAATAAATCATAGATCTGGCTTGGATTCTGAAGAAAAGGTTTGTCAAGGTGAAATTTAAAGCCTTGTCTCCTTAGCCATTTGGAAGAAACATCAAGAGTTGCTTTTATTTAACTTTGCCATATCTGTGAGGCAGAAAGAGAGAGCTGGCGCTTGCCTGATCCGGTGGTAGATGATAGAACAGAAAATTGGAACAAAGGAAAGTGGTGAAACTAGAACTAAACTTTTGTGGTTTGCTTTTAATGGAGTTGATGACCTATTGGAACAAATCTTGAAAGGATATTTCAGGTTCTTTATCCCTTGGTGACTAAAAATCTTTGGAAGATATTCTAATAGATCACAAATTATTGTACTTGATAGAGGGAGAATTTTTTTGTGCAAGAGGATCAGCTTGATATCCTAAGGATCATTTTGGTCTGTAACAGCTACAAACCTTAAGAGGTAGAGCATGTTAATAAATCTTGGATATTGAAGCATTGCTATCGTCTACTGTAGACCTGTTGAAAGATGAGTCCCAACTTACTTAGATACATGATTGGTGTAACTTACAAATCCTTAAAAAGAGAGTTGGCGAGGGGGACAGTTTTAGTCACCATTATGGTGCTCGCATCCAAAGATGATAAATTGAACGTCTTTCAAAAACTGTGGCTGCACGCAGACTAAATTTCACAGAATGCATAGGCAGTCAGTATTGCAGTTTTGGTACTGAGTATAGTGAGCTTAAAGGAAGACTTGAAAACTTTAAGCTCAGCCATGTGAGCTATGGTTTGTGCTTGGAATGGGAAGTCTGCAGGACAGTGGATACAGGAACAGTAGATCCATAGATGCTGTGTTGATACTGGGTTAGAGCAGAAAGCAGCTAGTGGAACGAAAGAGCAACACAATAATGAGTAGGACGCATTTGAACAGTTAAGATCCTGAATGTAGCCAAGTAACTGACTTCTGTAGGTTCGCTGCTCTGCTGTGTACCCCTTAGATCTCTGCAGGCATAAATTACCTCACTTAATGAGTTCAGTTTAAACGCATTTATATGTAAACAAATTTATAATAGTGTAAATCCCTTTGCAAACACTGTTTCTCAGCTAAGCTAAGGCTTGATTTGTAATTTATTTCAGTTAAACTGAAATGACTGATTCACATCAAAATAAGGGCTTTTATATTATTGTAATGAGATTGCTTTAATACTGTCCTGTTAAACATTATGAAGTTTGGCAAGCCATCAGAAAAACGAATCTGAGATGATGGAGAGGGTGAGCGTGCCAGGGTTTGTTTCTGTATGTGACTGACTTGTTAAACTCTGATGGCTTTGCTTTGTGGTAGGGAATACGCGGAGTCAGTGGGGCGGAAGGTGCGGGATCTGGGCATGGTAGTGGACCTGATCTTCCTCAACACAGAGATGTCACTGACGCAAGCCCTGGACGATGTGAGCAGAGGAGGGTCTCCTTTTGCCATTGTCATCACCCAGCAGCATCAAGTTCACCGGTCTTGCACTGTTAACATCATGTTTGGCACCCCACAAGGTACTGAGGTCTCAGTAGGCTGTATAACTCTGTGGTCATTCTGAAGCGTTCAAAGTGTTGCTTTAGAACACTTTCTTCCAAGGAGAATCACACAGAACAAAGTTCGCCCTTGCTGTGACATAAGTAGTTATTAATGACTTGACACCATGTCATAAATGTGAATATCATTATTTACAAGCTTCTGTAATACTTGTATTTGTCCCTTGTCAAAAGGACTGTCTAATTTCTGCCAGGAGGGAACATCACCAGCTTTTGCATCTTAGTCCAAGTCATGAAACCCAGCTCTAGAAATGACTGCATTGCCTTCGTAGACTTCTGAGTAATACCAGTCCAACCTCAGTTTATCACTTGTTGCTCTCAAAGAGAGTGTTTGCAGTGTGACAAATTACAGGACAGATGTTAAAACCAAATGTGACTTAAGGAAAACAGAGTAATGATAACTTTCTCAGTCAAGGTAAAGATCTGATCTTGAAACTGGGAAGAGTTATAAAAAGATAAAACTATAAAGTGATTTAGTGTATGTGCTCCACCTTTTTAGCGCCATTTACACTTGTCGCATCACTTTACGTCTCTGGGTGACTTGGTGGTTGTGAGCATGAGGGTAGGTGTATTAAAAAACCATCTTGTCAGAATGCGATCTTGGAAAGCGGCTTTTTGCTCCGATCACAGGCCTGTTCACATACTCTGTTTACCCAGGTGGCTTGTTTGACTGCAATAGAGCTTTCAAAGGTTATTTCTCCCTTATTGTGTTCTCAAGTAATGTTTTGTGAAGTTCATCTGGGAGAGTAAACTTCTGAATGCACAGTCACTGGTTTTTGTGTGCTTAATGACTGAAGAAGCCTGGTTTCTTTTAACATTGGATGCTGATGTGATAGCAGGATTCTCTCATTTTCTGCTGAAACACAGCTCATGCTAACTTTCACTGTGCCTTCCACTGCCCTCGGTTTTAACTCTTAACTCTTTTGGTTTAACACCTGTCCTCCCACCAAAGCTTCTGTTGTTCTTTACTGGATCTAATGGTGTATCAGATCTGGTAAGAACCCCAGTCATTACCTCGTCCACAGCTCTTTCTAGAGATTAAATACGCTCACTTTAACTGCACGTGGCCACCCTTCCATTCACATTAGTTTTAGGGAACTCTTTCACAACTTGTGCAATGAGTAATGTTAAAATGAACCCCAGCTTCCTGTTACGAGGAGAAAGGGTGGCAGGATTTGATGGTCTGCAGGTATGGAAAGTGCCCAGAGCTTTGGGCACTTTTTGGAAGGTAAAGGCCTTCTCTTTTGATTTCCATGCTTAAATCTGTGTTCAGGGGAATGTTTGCATTTGTGCTTTGTGAGGTGGAAATAATGACCTCACAAACTTCAAAAGACAAGTGGGGAAAAAAAAAGTTGGAATTGACTGTTATTTGTTGTATTACAGAAGAACTTGGTTGCTGCTTATTGCCCCAGTGTAGTAAACATAAGCAGCAATGTGACATTGAGCCAGTGCTTCTTTCCTCCCCATCTCCTGCACACATGCACACTATATTAAGGCATTGGCAGTACAGAACCAAAAAGTATTCCTGTTGCTGTCCTACTCTGGGAAGCTTTAGCAGCCTTCAGAGGGCAAGTTTTGGATCTGTCCAAGGCTTTAGCAGTAGAATGGCTGTAACTGTCTCCTCTTGGAGCACTTGAGAATTTATGTGAGAGGTAGAGGGAGCTGCTTTCCCTTTTAATTGGATGAGAGGTAAGAAACACATTTCTTGGGCTGATACGGTATCTTCTCAGAGACCTCAGTTATGGAAGAAAAGGGTGGCCTTGCTGGGTGATAGCCTTGAGCCTTCTGTTGGCTTAGGAAACTGAACTGCTACTGTGTGCCTAGGAAGCTTCCCAAGTCTACACTCGCAATCCCAAAGCGGTGCCTGCATACTGAATGAGATGTGCTGGTGTGCATGAGGCAAGGCACCTCCTGTTAATGTCACTTTGGCTTACTTAAGATGTTTCTGTTCCTTGTGCAGAACACCGCAACATGCCCCAAGCTGATGCCATGGTCCTGGTGGCAAGGAATTATGAGCGCTACAAAACAGAGTCACGGGAGAAGGAGCGTGAGGAAATTGCCCGGCAGGCTGCCAAGATGGCAGATGAAGCTGTTCTGCAGGAGCGGGAGCGCCCACCCCCCATGGAGGAGGGTGTCAGAGGAGGTCACCCTCCAGGGATTCAGACTCTCTTGAACCTGCTGGCAGACAATCGCTATCTAACTGCTGAGGAGACTGATAAAGTAATTAATTACTTGAGAGACCGGAAGGAACGGTTACTGAGGGGAAGCAGTGATTCTCTGCAGGGTAAGTTTCTCAGCCACAGACAAGGCTATTAATCATACGGTTTGCAGGCCCTCTGAGCTGGGACCTGAAAACAGTCCTGGGCCTGCAGACGAGTCCTAGCATCATCACTTCCTTACACAGTGCCTCATTTTATTGAGATGTACGTGTCCTTGTGAGTCCTGAGATGATTCAGGTCTTTCATGTGAAAGAACTTTTATATTGGATTCTCTCAAGGAAACCACAGGACTGCCATAACTGGTTTGGCTGCTACATGAAGGGCAACGGTTCTGCTGAGTAGTTTGGGTTCCCCAGAGCGGTGCAGCTCTTCTGTTCAAAGGGTGGGAATTCATTGATACTTGTGTCTTTGGTAACTGTTTCACTAATTTTATTTAGGTGCCCCTTCAAGGGCATTTGCAGAGCTTTAACCCTCTTTTCTTTCTTTCCCAGCATCCCTGTCAAGACAGTCTTTGGGGGCACCTTCAGGATCATCTCTGGGTAGTCAGTCCAGCCTTCCAAGCTCTCAGGCTCATCAGGGTTCACAGCCTCTGGTCTCTGCTCCTTCTGTTCCAGTATCCTCTTCTAATCCTCAGCAGGAGCTTCAAGCAAAAATCCTCAGTCTCTTCAACAGCGGGGCAGCAGCAGCAGCTGCTGTAGCAAACAGCAGTTCTGCAACCTCTGCGGGCACTTCAGGCAGCACTCCGAACCAGAACTTTTCTAACGTGGCCAGCGGTCAGGCCCGGTCAGCCCAGATGAGTGCTGGAAATTTAAACCAGGCTCAGCAGAGATTGCAGACTCCAAGCACGCAGCTTCCTGCTCTCCAAGGCCCTTCAAGAAATGCAGGTCCAAGACCTGGAGCTCCTCCACAGGCTCAGTCGCTCTATGGTCAGCACCAAAATCGCCTCCCTGCACCTGGCAATGTACCTGCTCAAAGGCCAGTATCTTCCGGTATCAACTTTGACAACCCTAGTGTACAGAAAGCCTTGGACACCCTTATCCAGAGTGGTCCTGCACTCTCCCACCTAGTGAGCCAAACCGTGGCCCAGGGGCGAGCAGGGACCTCAACCCAGCAACCTATCGGTTCCTACCAGCGACACTATTGAAGCTGAGCTGCCAGGCCCATTCCCCTTCCCTTTGCCATTCCATACTTATAGCTGTTTAAAGAGTCTCCTGTCCTTGACATGGGACAAATGCCCCTGGATATGCATGTCCTCTCCGCTTTGGAGAGAGTGTACCCCCAGTGGCATTGCTGCTGACTGTTGCTAGCGCAGCCCTTCCTCACCTTGGTCTGGTTAGCAGTGTTTGGAGAAGTATGCTCTGTTTTCTCAGCGGCAGGATGTACTAAGAGCCACTTTGGATAATTGGTTGTTTTGTCCAGTCCTAGCAGCTGCTGCAATGACAGTCCTTCTGCATTTTTCCTCACTTCCAGTAGCTGGTGCATCTTCACATTGCAGAGCAGTCTGGTCCCGCTGAATGGTCTTAGTATAGTTTTGGGTCAGTGGTGAAGAAATGACACAGGGGACTGAACAGAGCAGTACCCTGACTGGGCCATCTTGGAGACCCACCTTTTTGGAATGGGCACTATTTTTCTTTGGATTTTTTAATTTCTCTTTTTTTTAATGGTATATAAGCCAGTTGGAAAGTACAGTGGTAGTGCTGGCAGCTGAACTCATGAAGCACATGCCTGACCACTACTCAGTAACGCAGGACTATGCCGTTTGGTCCTTCCATAGCTGGGACTGTCATGTCCTGGCAGAGTGAGGCGGAGGACACTTGCTTGCCCAGCTCACAGGGACTGGCAGCTTTGGTCTGAGTACTGTGGCAGATATCAAACACAAGAGCTTCCAGCCAAGGCAGAGGTTTCAAGTGGTCTGTCAATTTTCCTACACCAAGTAGTCAGCGTTAAGATCAATCTGTTAAATTTGGCATATAAATTTCCTTTTCTTATAATCTTGCTTTGGGACAGTTGGTTACCGTAGCCCAACAGCTCAGCTGCAGCCATACTGGTGTGCTGCTGGTGCTCCCTTGGGAATATCTGCAGCCAGCTACTAGGTGGTGAATGTCTGCTCCCTGAAACTTTATTTCACTGTTAATTGGTGTTTTGTCCATCTAAGGTGGAGAGGCAGTGCCAAGATGCAATACCATAATTTTATACATTTTTTCAACACTTTGGTAGCTGCAGTGGACAGTTGAGTGGAAAATAGGGCAGTGATTCTTCACCATGTTTTTAACCAGTAACATACTTTGATACCAGAACACAAAACATCTCTTAACTAAGTGGTCCTCCCCATCACGGCCTTCTTGGAGTCTGTAGGCTTCCTACAGAGAACCAAAAGAAACTAAGAAAGCAGTGTTCTTGGAGCAGAGGATTTTCTTTGTCCCAGGTGGTTTGTGTTGTAGCATTTTTTTTTTCGCTCTGTGCTGTTAACAAGAGGACATTACTTTTTAATAAAAAGGCAGGAAAAATGTTTTTGTTGCATTTTTGACACTTGACAGCTTGAGTATTACTGGAATACATTATTCCACTGCATTTGCCATTACTCTCTTCTTCCAGATAAGCTGTGTCAGACACTGCTGAGTGCTAAGTGCTGGGTGCTTAAGCGAAAAGTGTACAAACCTGACTCTGACCCACTGTGAGAATACTGTAGTCTGTCTCCGTTTATAACACTTATAACACTTTGAAGTACCTCACAGATACTCATTCTCACACAGTGGACTTGAACAATCTTGGGCAGAGCAGCCCACCCCACGTCCCCGTGTTGAGGCACCTGCACACAGGAGCAGTGTGTGGCAGGGGCTGGCGTGAGAGGTCCGAAGCCTCTCCTGCTGCTGGTGGTGGGAGTGGGGGAGTGTGCTCAGGCCAGCAGCGAGCTGGCCTGGTGTCTGTGCTGCAGTTGCTGTTAATTGTACAGGTGCCACGTTAAGTTTAAGCTACAAGTCCCTGTGCATTTAGCACTGGCCTTCCTTGACTCTGTGCTGCCATTACTACACTACCTGAAATTTGATGGAAGTATGTCTGTCTTCCATCTTTCCTCTTCCAGTCTCTTTTCGTTACATCCCCTTTTCTATCTCTACAACCCTGCAGACAGGTAAAGCATCTTTGCTGGGGTGATCAGAAATTTGCGTGAACTTAAACATGGGCGCTAAGGTACTTGGGAGAGGCTGTCCTGCTCCTGATGTTTTGCTTCCTCTGCAACCTGCTGCTCCTCATGGTGACTTGCTCCTTTTTACAGAAGTGGTAGCAGCCAAGTGCAAAATAGTTGTGGAGACCCTGGAAGCGAGTGAAAACTCCCCATGCAAGTAGTGAAGGGTGTAATAAAATCATTTATTGCATTTTGTGCAGACAGGAATCTAGAAAAATGAGTACAGTTAAAGCAGTAAAGCATTAACAGGGAGCATTCAACAGCCAAGGAGCCACTCCTCCATTAATACCTGCACAGAGAACACTGGGTCTGTACTGAGGCGGCCTAATGCACAGTACTGAAACACTCACAGAAATTAAATGCAAGCCTAATACTTTTTTTTTTTTTTGGTTTGCACCTGTTTTATTTACAAGGTTTTAAACTTAATTGCATTGCTCTGCACACAGATTCTCTAAAACACAAAGCATACTAGGTTACTACATGTCTAATTGAAATATTGCACTCGAATAAAAGTCACTTGAATGAACGTAGAACACTAGCTACAGTGATTAAAAGATTATTGAATGAACTGACTTTGTGATAACATTCATAACAAATATATTGCACATGTAGCACAGAAAGTGGTGTAACCAGCAAATAGACCTTTTGGTCTTTCTGCTAGTTCTTAGTCCTGCTACACAGAGGAGGGTCTTGACTCTTTTAGTGCAACTCTTACCCTTGTGCAGTGTCTAGTCCTTCCTCTTACCTGGCCACGGACCAATGCTGACCCGGGCTGGATGCTGCCTGCACCTCCTGTAACTGCTGTCTTGTGGCTTTTTGCCTGTATC